CATCGTTAAACGCGCTTTTCGCAGATGGCGACCCTTTAATGAATTTAAATTTTATTCCCTTAAAGAGCCGTAATTGCGATCTTTAAAAAGCCATATTTTATGGTCGCTTATGTAGATCAGGATCGGGTTTCGTCTAATTGGAATTCAGACCGTGAAGTTCGTTTCCACATGGGAATTACTGACTCGAAGTGGCTGAAGAAAATTTACAGAAAAATTCATTCGACTGAATTTATTTGAACATTTTGAAGTTGTACTCGGTTGCTGAGAACACAAACAAAATTCTGTGTGTGGTTATTGTTTTTTCCACTGATGATTTTGAGAATGTTGTTGATCTCAAATAGGCTACAAAAGAAGTAAGTAAAATTTACATTTTTAAGGTTTGACGCATTTTTTAGAACGGTTTTTAAAATAAATGAACCTTGGATTCACTGTGAACCTCAACCGCCAAGTATTTCAGAAATCTACTTAATAATTACAAGGACGTTACGCTCCCATTATCACCCATTAAAACATATTTCTGAGACGGAAAAAAATCTTCCGTACAATCTTAAATTTTAGATCCGTTCTGAAACCTTAAAACGTATCTTAGAAGTTAAAAATTGGGATGACTTAACCTATTTTTAGCCAAGTTTTTCATTTTGAACCAGTATTAGGTACACACACAAATTTTGTTTTTACTTCCTGAGCGTATCCTACTTTTATATTTTCTCGAGGTTTCATGACCTCTAGAGTACGGAAAAAAACCGTTTATATAGATATTCTCCGGAACTACTGGCCCGATTGTTGACAAATTTTATATGTGTATTAGGAATATCATGTAGATGGTAAAAATTTAACTAAAATTTAGATGAACATCCCACCAACATTAGGATGACGTCATCTCCAAAGTTTACAATAGTAAATTTTATTTCAGTTTTGTAAAATAAGATATTCCTTCACGGGTGGTTTATGAGTGCCTGTTTAGTTTTAACTCTAGACATCCAGATCTTAAAAAAAATAAAAATTTTATAACAGCATTTTGCAATTTAATTTTAAAACGACAGAACCGAATGCTCTGAAAAATTATCCCTTTTCAAAAGATTGATTATTTCAAAATTTTGCCGAATAAATCTAAAGTATGCAAACTATTATGACTCTACAATAAATTGTGGTTTATCAATTCACTCACAGATTTTAGAATTGCTTAGGTTGACTCAAAAAGTTCTTAAATCAGACAATATATTGTATTGATTATAATCAAGAACGACTCACTTCATTTTCCTGAAAATTTGGAATAAGTATTATCAAAAAAAATAAATAAATAAATAAATAAAATTCACAAAAACAATTTTTACAATTTTTCGCAAAATCTGGATTTATTTACCTTCCATCAATTTTTTGGTACGAGTATCACAATTTTTCATTTTCTCTTTTTCTTAAATTTTACAATTTTTTGATGATACAATTTTTGGTTTTTTATTTTTTTTTTAATTTTTCAATTTCTCCCTTTTTCAGTGTTTCAGTTTTAAAATTTTTGGTTTTTCCACCTTCAATTTTATCAATTTTTCAATTTTTGCTTCTTCAATTTTTCGTTTTGAAATTGTTCAATTTTGCATTTCACAGTTTTTAATTTTTGGATTTTGCAATTCTTCGTTTCTTCAAATTTTCTCAAGTTCTAGATTTTTATTTTTCATTTTCCCAATTTTTCGTTTTTTAATTTCCTTTATTTTTTTCAATGCTTCTTTCGATTTTATAATTTTTCGTTTATTCAATTTTTCAAAATTTCAGGCTTTGATTTTTGAATTCCTCGGTTTCCAATTTTTAAATTTTTCAGTTTTGCAAATTTTGCATTGTTTGATTTTACAATATTTCGGTTTTTTAATTTTGCACTTTTTCAATTTTTAAGTTTCTCAGTTGTTGACCCTTCGATTTTTTTCAATTTTTCAAGTTCTTGATTTCAAATTTTTAGATCTTTCAAAGATTTTATTTTCTAGTTTTTCGTTTTTTCATTTTTGATTTATCAATTCTGCAATTTTGCAATTTTCCCATTTTTCTTATTTGAAAAATAAAAATACCGAAAATCGAAAAACTGAAAAAACGAAAAATTAAAAGAAAAAGATGTGGAAAATTGAAAAATTGTAAATCAAAGAACTGAATAAACGAATAACTGAAACATTAGAAACTAAAAATCGGGAAACTTAGAATTCGACAAATTAATGAATCGAAAATTGGGAAAAAAGGAAAAACAAATAGAATCGAAAAATTGGGAAATTCAAAAGTTATAAAATCGAAAAATTATACAATTATCAAAATTTTAAAGTACAAAAACTATAACATTGAAACATCGAAAAATTAAATCTTGAGAAATCGAAAAATTGCAAATTGAAAATAAAAAAACAAAAAATTATAAAATCTAATTATGTATAACATTTAAAAAATCGAAAAATAGTAAAAACAAAGAAAATGAAAAACCTAAACCTAAATCGAAAATTTGAAGGAATAAAAAATTTAAGAATCAAGAAATAAAAAAGTTCATAATTGAAAACTTGAGTAATCTTAAATTGAAAAGTTGCAAAATTTAAAACTGAAGAAACAAAAAAATGAAAACTGAAAAATCGCAAATCGAAATAACGAAACAATTAAAATTGAAAAAACAAAAAAAAACATTGTAAAATCGAATAATTGAAAAAATAAAGAAAATAAAAAATCGGAAGGAAAAACTGCAAATCGAAAAATTGAAAACTGGAGAAACTCGAATCGAAAAATTGCAAAATCTAAAAAATTGAAAGATTCGAAAGTTGGAAAATTGAAAAACAGAAAAATTTTAAGTTTAAAAAAAGTTAAAAATCGAAAAATTACAAGATTAAAATGTGGAAAATTAAAACATTGCAAATCGAAGAACTGAAAAGACGGAAAATTGAAACATTAAAATGAAACATCAGGAAACTTAGACGTCGAAAAAATAAATGAATCGAAAAATTGGAAACAAGAAAAAACGAATCGAATCGAAAAATTGGAAAACTCAAAAATTATATAATCGAAAAATTATAGAATTATCGAAATTGTCGAGTCGAAAAACTATAACATTGAAAGATCGAAAAATTGAAAAATTAAATATAGAGAAACATTGTAAAAACAAAGAAAATAAAAAACCGAAACCATCAATTGCGAATCGAAAATTTGAAGGAATGAAAAATTTAAGAATCAAAAAATTAAAATGTAAAAATTGAAAACTTGAGAAATTTAAAATTGATAACTTGCAAAATCTAAAAATTGAAGTTACAAAAAAAAATGAAAAATTAAAAAATCGCAAAACGGAAATTAAAATTAAAATTAAAAAAACAAAAAATTCTAAAACCCAAATACGGAAAAATCAAATAATTGAAAAAGTAAAGAAAATAAGAAATCGAAAGAAAAAACTGCAAATCAAAAAATTGAAAACTGGAGAAACTCGAATTGAAAAATTTAAAATTTCGAAAGTTGGAGAATTGAAAAACTGAAAGATTTTAAGTTTACATTTTCCAGTTTTTCTTTCCTTCAATTTTTCAAGTTATTGATTTCCAATTGTTAGATTTTTCAAAGTTTTTATTTTGTACTTTTTCGTTTTTTCATTTTTGATTTACAAGTTCTGCACTTTTGCAATTTTTCCAGTTTTCTTATTATAATTATTTACATGATTAAAATATGGGAAACAGAAAAAACGAAAAATTGAAACATTAAATTTAAAAATCGGGAAACTTAGAAATTAAAAAATTATAAAATCGGAAAATTATAGAATTATCAAAATTGTAACGTCGAAAAATTATAACATAGAAAAATGAGAAATTAAAGATGGAGAAATCGAAAAATTGCAAATCGAAAAAGTGAAGAAACGAAAAATTGAAAAAATCGAAACATTGTTAAAACAAAGAAACCAAAAAACCGAAACCATGAACTGCGAATCGAAGATTTGAAGGAATGAAAAATTTAAGAATCAAAAAAATTAAAAGTTAAAAACTGAAAACTTGGAAAGTCTAAAAATTTAAGAAACAAAAATATGAAAAACAAAAAAGTCGCAAATCGAAGAATAGAAGAAGTGAAAAACTGAAAAAATTAAAATTGAAAAAACAAAAAATTATAAAATCCAAACACTGAAAAATCGAATAATTGAAAAAATAAACAAAATAAAACATCGAAAGGAAAAACTGCACATTGAAAAATCGGAAAACTGAAACAAGGAAAAATTACAAGATTACAATGTAGAAAATCGAGAAATGGCAAATCGAAAAACTGAAAAAACGAAAAATTGAAGCACTGAAAATTGGGAAACTCAAAAATTATATAATCTAAAAATTATAGAATTATCAAAATTGTAAAATCGAAAAACTATAACATTGAAAGATGAGAAATTAAAAATGGAGGAATCTAAAAATTGCAAATCGGAAAATTGAAAAAACCTAAAAATTATATAACGTGATTGTAACATTGGAAAATCGAAAAATTGTAAAAACAAAGAAAATAGAAACCCAAATAATAAATTGCGACTCGAAAATTTGAAGGAATGAAAAATTTAATAATCGAACAATTAAAAATTTAAAAATTGAAAACTTAAGAAATTTTAAATTGAAAACTTGCAAAATCTAAAAGTTGAAGAAACAATGAAAAACTGAAAAATCGCAAATCGAAGAATTGAAGAAACGGAAAACTAAAAAATTTAAAATTAAAAAAACAAAAAATTATAAAATCCAAACACTGAAAAATCGAATCATTTAAATAATAAATAATAAATCAGAAATAAAGAAAATAAAAAATCTAATGGAAAAGCCGCAAGTCGACAAATTGAAAACTGGAGAAACTCCAATCGATACATTACAATTACAACATCTAAAAATTGAAAAATTTGAAAGTTGGAAAATTGAAAAACTGAAAAATTTAAACTTAAAAACTCGAAAAACCGCAAATCGAAAAACGCAAACAGTTTTTTATATTTTTTCAAAGAAGCGGAATCCGACCAATTTTTTGAAGAGGCTTTTTCTTTGCAGTAGCTTCATCGCCGACCATCACAAGTCCAGCCTCCGGCACCTCGGGCGCGTCCACGGTCCCATCTTCCTTAGCCCCATCGGCCCTCCGAGAGCTGTACGGCAACGCCGCCACTGCCCCAGGTCATCCCCTCGCCTCGCTAGTCTCGCAACAAAGGTTTCTGGAGCTGTCCAGGTTCGGCCTAAGACACTACGACCTGGCGCAGCATATGTTAACACAACAGGGCGCCGTCACGAAACTGCTCGGTAAGTTTAATTTCCACATATGGGTGTACGCGTCGCTCTTCGATCAGTTGCCTTTTGTGCTCGAGGAAATTGAAAATTGGAAATATGACAAAGGAAAATTAATTTTCTGCGTTAAACTGTTCCTTTATCAGTGACTCATCAAAGCTTAAGTCCTCGATTATTAATTTATTAAGTAGGATCGATGGGAGGGTTTTTTCAATGGCTGACGGAGCTTCACGCGAGAAAATGCCAAATATGTTGTTTTTTTATTGTGCGAGGACAATGTGGCAATTTTCGTAGGGAGGGGATGAGAAAAGGGTAATTTATTGTGCTCTTGGTTGTGTATTGTGTCGTAGGGTTCGTGTACATATAATTAAGGCGGGAGGGGGAAAAATATGGCTTCTCTAACAGAATTTTTTTTTAGTAATGTTTAATAAATGATTCACATTTTATTTCCCTACCAGTTAAATTAGAATTTATGTAGAATTATAACAGCATGTAAAATAATAAAGCACTTAATCGTAAACTTGTGGTCTTCTAACACTCATATCCTGCTTCCACCATTATAATAGACGTATAGTGGAGGTTCTGCAATAATGAATACCTTACTGACATTGTTCACTATTTCAAAACCATAACTATTTTTCGGCAAAGAATAAAACCGATTTTGTCTAGTATGAGTACATACATGAGTAATAAATTGTTTCTCACGGTCGTGAGTAATGAGTCACCTTATTCAACAGAAAAGTACGAGTGTAATAAACACACGAGGGTACAATTTTTAGAAGAAGCTTATATTTTTAAGATAATTTATCATTGTTAGGGATACCTGTCGTTTTTTTCAACTACAAAAACCTTCCCAAGTGTTCTTTCACAAATTTCACAGTGAGTTATCGAAGTGAGACCTGCATGCCTGCGTGTCCGTTTTATCAACACGCATTTAACCTTGCCGTGTTTGTATCTAGAAAAATGGTAAAGAACATGATTTTACGTCAGTTCATTGTAGCTCATTATTTTTGTAACATGGTGGTTACTTTTACTTGGTCACAGACGTGGCCATTATCGATTAAGTACTAACTAAACGGTGAAATTAAGTGGGATCTATCTTCCTGGAAGTGCATCTAAAATAATATTCATTTAACAAAATCGGGATGTACTTATAAGTGTAATTACTGACTTGACTGAGTTCTTATTGTCAGAAGCGCGTCATGGTTTGCTTTCGAACAAACGACGGAAGACCAGTTACACGAACAAACGGATTAAGAGTGTAATACTCTGTTATTATTTGCAATATTTCATATTCCGATACGTTTACCTCTTATTATCAATTTCGATCTGAAATGTGAAAAAATCCGGTGCATTGAGATGAACCCGAGACGATACGATTCTATAAATTTCGTCTGTTGACCCTCCCTCGTCGAATATTAACACGTTTGTTTGAAGTAAAAAAAATCTCGTTAGTTTCACGGATTATAATTAAGTAGCTCAGTATTTATAAATGTTCGGTTTGCATTAGCATATCTGATAAAGTGATACGGATCACGGCTGGTCACTGTGAACAGTTGGTCGGTATAAAACCTTCTTATTTAGTATGTAATCGTTCTTGAAACGCCGTATTGTTATCGAGAGGGCGAAAACGCCGCCATAAATTTCTACTTAATTGTTGCTGAAAAGCATCCACAATTTATACGACTTGCTTGTTGTTATTTATATCCATAATTCGTAATAAATGATAGGATTTCAGACGTAATCCTGAGATTTGTTATAGATTTTAATTACACATTGCCGTCTCGATTAAGATCTTTGTTTTTTACGGACGCTTCCGATAACCATCGCCTTAATCATAGCCATTAAGTGAAGCGGGAATTATTTAGGCGCAACCATTCATTACAATCACAAATCACACCTTGCGGGAGAACTTTAGGTAGCCATCGGACCAAACTTTTTTCGCCGTTCTGGATCTACAACCAACGGCAAAAGTGTACAACGAGATCATTAATAATAATAAAGTGGATATACATTAAGACCTAAAGCTTTTGGTGTTCCTTGAATGAGTCAAATATATTTTCTTCGTCGTGTAGGAAAAGGACCGCCTCAGATTTTAACCTTAAAACACTGTGAAACTGCGCGTTACCTTGATATTTAGAATTAATGCTAGCTGAAAGCACATGTTTCCTGCGTTTAGATATGTATGATATGATAACTTTGAGATCATATAAAACTGAATGTAGAACCCTGAAGCGCCTCTGAATAAAAACGTCTTTTGTCATGTAACTATTGCTTTCGTTTCCGTCTTGAGTGTTAAATTTCACAGAAATAGATAGTTTTGCATGCGCAGATACGTAATAACCATTTCAGAAAATACTTGTGTATGTTAAGAGCTAAAAAGACTTTTATTCCCCATGAACTAAACATTAAGTTTTTTGTAGGCTATTTTAAAATACAGAAATAGTTGATTTATAAATAAATAATATGCCTTTCAGGGCGTTTTTTGTCAATAATTAATTGATAATTTTTGAGGTGACGTCATCAACTTTGTGGAGGGTAACAGATGGATTACAACTAGCGTTTTGTCAAACAACAGACAGATGAGAATGCGAAAACTGAGTCACCATAAATAAAATACTCAGCTGTGTCGGTTTTGAAAAGAGAGTAGAATGAAATTCCTTTTTAGCATTTTTGTCGCATTTTTTCAAATTTATACTAGAAGAAAAAAATTGACAGTTGTGGTCCTATGCAGCAGCAAACTCTGAATTTCTCAAGTAGATACATTCAGGTTTAAGGGCGTTAAAAAATTGGTCGAAAGTTGTTTCGACAGTACTTCCGTAGCACTTAAAGGACACGTATATCAATTTGGGTTGGTGTAGTGTAATTCTAAAAATAACAGTATTATATTCAAAAAATTTTATGGGAAAATGGAATGAGCCCTTAATGATTTAATTACTAGAATAAATTGCCTCATGTATTAATTTTTGATAAAATAATATGATAAACCACAAGCAAAAACTCATGATATTTTGCACATTTTGACTAGAATTTATTTGGCAAAATTTTGAGATGACGTCAGCAATTTTTGGGGGGAATATACAGATATATTTTGATTAACAATTTACCATGTTTACAATAACTTTAAGACGTCTGCAAGAAGTTTACAGTTTTGCAATTCTCGATTTATTTAATAAAATAAATTGACTGATTCATTAGTTTTTTTGAGTCACTCTGTATAAGCAAATCCAAAAAAAGAGGTTCTTAATTTGATCAATAATAATTGGTCGAAGGCTATAATTCGACAAATCCAGCTCTTTAAAAAAATTATAAACTGAAAACCAGAGGCATAAATAACACCCCTGGTCTTTCAGCAGTAGGTAAAAGCAATCTGAAACTCAAGTGTTTATTTATGTTTATGCATGGAAGGAATGTCACATAGAAGTTAGTTTGATTTGAATGAGTTTGCCTTCTCAAAACAAGACTAAAATTATTATTTAAACCACAATCGAACAAAGTGTTCTGAATATTAAAATCCTAATTTTATCATTATTATATAAGGACGTGCGTATTCTTCACATTTTCGAGAAAATGGGATGACTCCTTAAGACGTTCAAATCGTATTAGGAATAAAACGTTGTTATAGCTTGCAAATGTTTCTGCGAAAATTTGAACGTTTAGCGAAACAATTAAAAGCGGACTCGTACACTACAAGTATAGCAGTATATTTTGTGTAATATTCAAACCGTTTTAGAATAGCATTCATTGAAATGACGTCATCAATTTGTTGGTGGGGATGATTAATTCTGCTTAGCATTTAAGCTAGACATATCGGTCCAGCAGTTTCGGAGATTACGTGTCTAATAAAAATGGATATAGACAGACAGACAGACAGACGGAAACGGGATACTGCTTTTTTCGTACTGTATATGTCTTGAAACGTCGAGAAAACATGAAGGCGCTCATTCGTCCGATGGACTCGATTACAATACTTCGTTCGCTTACGCTCGGGAAGTAAAAACTAGTGTAAAGTTATTTAAAAAATTATAATATTTGGTTTTTACAATTTTATTTTTCGTGATGAGTCCTAAAAATTGAAACAAAAACAGATGTGGACTGTTAAGCTATGTTTCAAGCGAATTTTTCATAATAAAATTTTGTGATCATCAAGTTTTTAGCCAGGACAAGAAAAATGACAAAAAAAGCGGCAAAAGAGACACAAAAAAATGCGAAAAAAAGACGCCTAGAAAAAAATACATAAAATACGCCAAAAAATCCTTAAAAATCTTAAAAAATCGATTATAGAATGATTAAAAAATAAAGCTATAAAAACGGTGTTAAAAAATGCCACAAAAATGTCACTAAAAGAGTGGAATAAAAAAATTGCTTTAAAAAGGCACATAAAAAATTCACAAAAAATGTGGCCAAAACGCTTTTACAAAAAGTGACAAATAAAAGGCGACTGGTGCAAAAAATTACAAAAAAATGTTATGATTAAAAAAAGGATCAAAAAACACATCAAAGAAGTAACAAAAGGTCACAAATAATGCAACCATCAGAAATCAAAGAAGGTCACAAAAACTTGTAACAAAAAAAAAAGACATTGAAAAGAAAAGGACAAAAAATCCGCAAAAAGGCGACTAAATGCGAAAATAGAGGACAAAAATCCATGAAAAATGAGAAAAAGGTTATAATGACCAAAAAAATTACAAAAGGTCACAAATAATGCAACTAACAGAAGGAAATCAAAGAAGGTCACAAAAAATTCCAACAAAAAAAAGGACATTGAAAAGAAAAAGACAAAAATCCACAAAAAAGGCGACTAAATGCGAAAATAGAGGACAAAAATCTACGAAAAATGAGAAAAAGATCATGATAAAAAGTGACGAAAAAGGGGGTTAAAAAAGCGACAAAAAGGAGACAGCTGAAAAAAACGACAAAAATCCAGAAAAAAAGAACAAACATGAAAAAACAAGACAAAATAATTCGTCTACAGTTATTTAGAAGAACTTCCTGGCCCCTGAAACACAATCGAA